TATAAATTTTGTTATATGAGTACCTTGAAAGAAGTAAATTAATTACACTATTTATGAAGGAAAAAATTAAAACAGGGATTCCCAACCCTTTTCTTGTATCAACCAATTTTAAAAAATAGTTTTCTTCACCGACCTTCTTACATTATCCTCTATAATATGCAGCATAAAATTTATGATACCAATAGTCACACAGAAATAACATAAAGATAGGAATTAAATTACTATAAGTTTTGAAAAAAAAGATTGATTAGTTTTATGTTTTATTATTTTTTGTATTATAGTTATTTTACAAATATAAGTAATTTTTCAGAAAAAAAATCACAGATTTTAATTATGCTTAAGTTCTATTCAATTAACTTGATGGCTGATGTATTCATGCAAGTTTTTTATATTTGGCATTATACAGCTTACCTTAATTCTTGCACTATTTCGTTCAAAAGTAGTCCATCTCTTTATCGTTTTCTGTAATAAATTATTGACGTGACTAAAGCCTGATTTCATTACGTAAAAAACTCTGAAGTGTACACCATATGACTTCCTTGTACGAAATATTAAATTATACTCATTTTTGCTGCATTTCGTTTAAACTTATTTCCTCGAATTTCATTAGAAATATATATTTCTCATTCAAGTAATTCAGTTCTCACTTCGCGGCAAGGCAAAAATACATAAAACCTCAAAATATATTTAAAAAATTGAAAATTGTAGAAAAATATAAAACATAATTACCGTTAAAATAATTTAAAGAACAATTTTTACTATTAAAATTAGAGTTCCTACGCAAAAACAAATAATCGGAGATCGGGCAAGAAGGCAGGTTTTTCAGAGCACAAAACTAAATGTTTACTTTTTGGCCTCACGCAGCAAAAAGACACGGAAGGCGTAGAAACTGATTTAATTTTTTGTGGACACTATGCTGAGTCAATGTATAGGATAATTTAATAACTTAAATGATAATTCCAGAATGAATTAAACATGATTTAATTCTCAATAAAAGAAGACGTTACCTTTGTTGAAGCAAAGCTTAGTTTCTCTAGATTGGCAACAAATCCACTATTCTGCTAAGTTTCAAATGTAAACAAATATGGTTGCTGTGTCAAAAAAATTAGGCTTAGCCGCACTTAAACAACTTTTAAATTGTTGATAAATCTACAACTATAGCATGCAGGTTAACTAAAGGCATAAAAACCTTAACCGGAAGATACGAACAACATAATTAAATCATTTTTAAAGCAAAAAAGAGTTCTTTATTCTGTCCTTACGTACAGATGGCACGCAAAAACTTCGTTAATTTGCATTTGATAGCGGTCAAAATGAATATTTTCGTTAGAATAGGATACTCGGAATTTTTAGTGATTACAATACTTCCTTTAATTCGTACAAAGAAGTAAAAGAGAAATATCAATAATGTTTATTCGAAGAAAATTTTTATTTTGGGTTATTTCTATGAAATGCTTTTTAATTTCCAAAACTTAGTGTACCTATGTGTTTGAATATGACTCGTACTTAAACATATTGAAATAATAATTGACAGATGTCAAATACGCACCTCACTATGAAAATCTTTTAATCGCAAAATAGGTATAAATATTTCTTATTTTTATTTCTTTTCAGTCAAACAAGTTACTTCTAACTTCATTTTCTTAATAAATGCTATTGTTACGGTTCTAGGGTTTATATTTATTTTAATAACATTTATTTTAAGCTATCTTTCCTGTCAAGCCTTTACTTTCCCCTAGAATTGCCAATGCCAGAGTATGTAAATTTTAGTAGAACGCGCAGAGTATTCAAATTTAGCAGAAGTAAGTTGAGTTTAAATAGAAGGGAAACGAGATTGTAAGTGTGCTTCTTGAATCGCGAGCGTGAAGGTTGCTAGGTAGAAATTTTAAGAACCGCGCGTTTCGGCCTGTGTGCCTTTCTCGGCAGTTCGTTGAATCTTTCAACTTCTTAAACAGTAAGTTTGCTGAATCTCAGCTGTATCTTAGAACGCGGTTAAGTTAGTTACGATTATAGCCTCGTAGATAGTGACTTCGTTATTTATTCATCCTGTCATTTATTTTTAGTTGTACTTTTCTATTTTTGCTTAACCGCCGGGTCGGCGTAGTTTGTGAGCGTCAAGTGAACTCATCTGTGATTTCTAAAGTGGAATAAAAAGGGATTTAAACCCTTCTTACGAGTTTGTGTAATTTCCAGTTCATAGCAGTCAATACTGTTGCGGACAAGTTGGGGCCACGCAACATCATACGGTGAAACACCGAAATCTAGAGAATGTCGACTTTTCACTGGTGAATGTCAACATTCACATAGTCGCTTGGTGTATGTCCGAAATATTTTCCAAATACTCTTATTTCTGACTTACACTGGTAAATGTCGACATCCACCATGTACTAATGGTGAATGTTGAACATATAAGAATATTATATTTTCTTCTCCGTAATTCAGTCGCGAAAAAAAGCACTTGAGACTTAAAATAAGAACTTAAAACACACAATGCATTCAAAATGAGAAAGGAAAATATTTAAAGTTAAAAACTTACTTAATTACACAGTACGTTCTAAATGAGAAAATAAAATAATACTAATAAAAAACTTACTAAATTATGTGATTCAAATCTTATTTATTGCAACAACTTAAACTATTATGACACTTTATGACCTCTCTTTTCGACCTACACCTTAACATATCTGTGATTGTCGACATACACCGGTGAGGGTCCGAATATATAAGAATGTAATGCAATATTCGATCTCTCACCGACATATTTGGTGAATGTTTACATTCTCCGGTGAAAGTCGACATTCTTCAATTTCGGTGTTTCACGGTAACACTATAATGTTAAGTTAAAGAAAGATACTTTTATCTCGACAGAACTTCTCTACTACCTTTCTTTTGAGTTATTATTTTACGTAAAATGTATTCTTACATGCAAAGGCTCACACGCCACAAAAAATCTCTTCTGAATCCATTTTAAATCAATTTTATAATTCTTTCGTGGTAAAAGAGTTCTTTAATCTCTCCTTATGTATAGATGTCGTGCAAAAACATCGTTAAATTGCATTCGATAGCGGCCAGAATGAATATTTTCTTTGAAATATGGTACTCGGAATTTTTCGTGATTACAATACTTCCTTTATTTCGTACAAGGAAGTAAAAATCTGAAAGGTTTTTAGATTTTAACGGTCGCCTAAAAGGATCTGATAAGGTTTTTTAAGTTCTCGTTGAGCTTGCAGTCTAACAGTCTGCCGTTGCACTGACTGCCCCCTTTACTATTTTCCTTTTTGGTCTTTTTTAGCTACTTAAGCATTGTTTTCTTTAAATTTATGCCATATAAAATTCAACAGCAAAATCACAATAATTTTAAAAGCAGCCTAGCGGCATGCGTTTAGAATTCCCGATGTAGTGTTAAGAATTGGCATACATTTTTCTATTATTTTCAGTCTTTTCACCGTTTGCCATATCAATGTTCAGTCTTCTTAGTAAGATTGCTTAAAAAACTTTTATTTTTCTTTATATTATTAACGTTTAGTGTGGTAAATTTATTTATTAAATATCACATTCTTCGCACTTTCGTCACATAAAATTGAATTCAACAGCAAAATTACAAAATACTTAAAAACAACATATCTTTAGAATTTCCGATATATAGTCTCGCTCGCTGGAAATAAAAATTTTTATTTCGTACAGTGTTACCATTGAAAGATTTTGCCATCAAATTGTTACCGTTTTCATATCATTGAGTTTGTTAATCAAAATTCCTTAAAATTTTAAAAAATGTGAAATAAGTAAATAATAAAATAAATCCGAAATTCGGGCTTCCAGTTTCACATATTCATTATTTAATTTATTTAAAAATGATAGAGGGCGATAATGTTTGGTGGGAACAATTTGATTTGTGTACGGCGTTTACAGTGAACTGAAGCAGAATCCCATTTCAAAACTAATACCCCCTTTTGGGCTAATATATAAATATGATGCATCAATAATATTATGATACGTACATGGGGAAGTACAAAAAATATCAATATTTAATTGGAAACGAAATTTGAACCTGAAATAGCACTAATGAAACTGTTTCTGTTTTCCTATACTGCATCCGAATTCTCTGTAGGCTGCCGAATAGCTTAAGATCAACCTAATTAGGAAGAGTGTATTAAGCACAAAGTGCTTGTTTCCTCCAAACAATACGAATCTACAACTTTTAAGAGTTATATATTTAAAAATATGTTGCTAACTATTAATGGTGTAATTGAAGGAAATATGCTAAATCAGGTACAGAGTTATGCACCTTAAAATCTACTTAGAAACAGTTGTTTAAGATGCATCATATAAGTCATTTATAAAGTCATTTGATAACATGTAAAAAAAGACAATTTTTTTATTCTAGTATAGTAAACTGAAAATTTCAGTAACACACTTCACTCGTCTTTTCATTGAGAAAACATTAAAATAACTCCTATTGAGTAGATTTAATCCTAGAAAGCATTTGTGCAGACTCGTACCACAACGTAAAAATTGATCATTCGCCCTTTTGCCGTTTCGAGGCTACGACTTAGGAATAGTATTAGAAATGTCATTTTCTTAAAATTTTTAATTAAAGCTTTTTATGGTCCAGCAAAGATGGCGTATTCAAAATACATCAGTAGGCAGCATAGTACTTGCGGATATAAGTTAGAGAAAACCTGGATTAGAAATTATTGAAATGTTTGTTATTTATGAAATAAATTAGGAGTGAACTTGTAATTCTTAATATAAAAAACTACTTTCATTGCATATTATAAAAACTGCTTGAATAAAATTTTAAAGAGCAGAAAAACAGTCCCGAAATGTCTAATCCTTTCAGGATACAGCTACGGAAGCTTTCATTTACACAGCAGAACCAAGAAAACTGGCTAATTGAGGAGAAGCCATAGTTTGTCTGAATTTCAGCAATAAAACAGAAAACTAATTTTTTTTGCAGAAGCTTTATTAGCTACTGCCAGTTTATTTCGGTTAATTTTTAATATACACATTTATGAATACCAAATTGTTATTTAATTGCATATGTTATTTTGTCTATGCAAAAGCAAAAAAATAATAAAAGGATTTTATTTACAAATATTTAGCCGAAAATGTCCGTGCAAAATACACACTGTTAAATTTTACATTGTTAGTTGCGAATTAAATTTCTAATGTATACCCATCATGCCCAATATCATCATATCCTGTTCTTTTGAAACTCAATGCTATATCACTGACTCCTTTTCCGCCTTTCGTGCCACCATACCTAAAGACGTTGCCTAATCCTAGACCTTTAACTCCCCCGCCATAACCTGACCTACCATGAAGGCTTTTCATTCTATTTCCATATTCAATACCGTCACCATATCCTAGACCTTTTAATCCAGTTCCATATCCAAAATCATTATTAAATGCATGACCTTTCATTCCTCCATTTCCATATCCAAAACCAGCATCAAAACTTTGGCCTTTTATTCCTCCAATTCCATACCCAAATCCATTACCAAATCCTTTATCCATTATTCCTTCAGCTCCATACCCGAAACCATTACTATATCCAAGACCTTTCATTCCTTTGTGACCCAAATAGGTACCCAGTTCCTGGCCTTTCGTTCCATCTTCATATCCTAATCCATCGTCGAAGCCTTGCTTTATTCCTGCAAATTTTCCAACACTAGTTTTTCCTGCATCTTTCTTACTTCCACCAGCTCCATCTCCAAATTCGTATCCGATGCCAAAGTAGGGATGTGCTGAAGATATCATCTGAACAGCAGCTGGATTTTGACTAGCTGTACCAGGCTCATTAGTCTTCACTTCAGCTCTGAATCCATCTTTGTCTGCAATATAGTCTACCTGACGATGCAGACGTTGAGAATCTTGGTAACCATAGCTACCCTTGATAAATTTCTGTCCATCTCCAGTCTCTTGCCTATGCTGATCACCAAATTTATCCTTTACGGTATAACCGAATGAATAAGGATGAATCATATAGGGCTGAAATTAAAAAAATATAGATTATTGTTAAATGAAATGAATTTCATATCTAAACTAGTCAAAGCTAAAAAGTTGATATAATAATAAAAAAAGTGCACAAAAATAGTGAAATTAAAAATAATGTAATTTGTAGTTCACTTTTCATATATTTCATATATTATTTAATGTTGGTTATTTGCTTAATATCAAATTTTAACCTATGGCATCAGAAATATACTTCATTCCCTTAAACTGCTTAAAGGCGATACAAGTTTCTTAGATAGTGCATAATTGTTTTTTCCTTAAAAGAATTTTCACACTAAGTTATAATTTAAAGCTTCAAAAAACATTCACACTTCCAAGAAAATTGTAGACCAAGATATAATGCCGATTATCATGCAACGAGCAAACTTCTTAAATCATCATTTTTATACAAGTATTTTTCAAATTTTGAGTAATTAATATTTGCTTTTAAACTAAAATAGTAGTTCCTCCTCTGACTATTAAAGATGTTTTAACTACGACAACTCCGTAACTATTTACTACCTTATATCGCAGTGAGTAGATAAAGAGCACATATTTAATATAAGAAATTAAGGAAAATGGCTTCACAGCATCAAATCATGAATATAACTCCAGACTGTGAATAAAAGATCAAATATGCAGCGTTTCCAATGGTACTATTTTTAAAAGAAATACGAGTATTTAAGTTGCATTCTTATGCATAATGGTTAGTAAAAAAGAGCTCTTTAGCTTTTACAGACTATAACAAGGCAAACAAAGAAGCATAATGCGAAACTTTCCATTACTCATGTTTTAGATTACATAACGTTTTCTTAGCAATTTCGTCTATTCTTAACTACTATAAAGAAAGAACATATTTTCCTACTTTCCACTCAAATTTACTAAATAAAAATATAAAATCTGAAAAATGAGAAGGTGCACTTATTTTATAACATTATTTGCTGAAACTGCAGTCAATTATTCTAATTTTGTACCAATATCTTGAGTGAGCATACATACCTTTGAATTGTAGTTTTTGGTCTGAAATTATAAGCTGAGTATTCTACATTACTAATTATTTTCGCTCATAAATCATTACATATATAGAAGGAGACTAATCAGTTGCTGTCTCTTTCACTTTAAATGGCTATATTAATTCTTTTGTTTGAAATAGTTCTCTTCTTTAACACTTTTTCTTTTTAATTCTATATTTATATATTTTATGTATTGTATATAAATGTTAATTAATACAATTTATTTTTTGTTTTTGAAATAATAAAAAATAAAAAAGAATGAAACAAGCAAGAAACTTTCAAAACAAAAGAGATTACGGTCAAAAGTGGTGAATCTTTATTTTAGAGATGCCATATTACCCGATTGTATAATCGCAAAATGGCGCAAGATTTGAAGGGTGGGAGGAATTATTGAATACTAACGGAAAAAATGCGTATAGTAATTCTGTAATTATATCAAATAATTCAACTCATAGATAAATACATTTTTTTCATAGTTTCATCATATCTAGTTCAGCTTTCTTTTTTAAATCATCCTTATAGCCAGTTAGATCTTTTCAAATAAAGCTCGAATGTACTTCATTCCCCTTCTATTTTTTTTTAAATCTATCCTAGAATATGAATGTTTATTATTGCTCCAGTGTTGTAGCTTAAGATTTCTTCAGGCAATTTAGCAGCTGTATCTATTGTTCCCTCGGCCTGGCATCAAGTAATTTTGGTTGAGCTTGACGCTAAGTAAATGTTAGTTGGTAACGTTTCGTTTCTACTGATACTTGAGGATTCGACGTCTTCGAATTATGGCCTCGTCGCCTGATTTGCTCATTTTCATCACTTTCAATTTATTCAATGATTTCATTTTCTGAAAGAGTGATTAATGAATTCTTTGTATCAAGGTTCTTTTGTATTAAACTGCACTTGAAAGTTCTTGATGCTACGTTCAAAACATTAATAAATTTTGCTCAAATAAATTGCCTCGTTTATATTTAATGCTTTGAATTACTCCTTGATCCATAGTTGGATCAAAGTTGTTACATTCGATGGATACAGTAGTGTTTGTTGCTGGGATTTAAGAGGCCATAGAATATGCTGATGGCTTTTAAAATTTATTTTAAGCAACTGGTAATAAATGGTGCGAAAACTGCTTTTCGAATAACTCTGTTGTTATTGAAGTGTTTGACTGAACTTTATAATTTATGTACAAACCAAAGAGATCCTTAAGCATGAAACTGCTCCAAGAAATTGGTGTAGCATTACTAGACGGCATAATGAACAATAAAACAAACACACATGTATTACGACCATCACATCGCGAAAGACCAAATGAGTCGGAAGAATGTGCAATGGAGACATCACGCTAATAACGGGTATGATACTCTCTAGCTGAAATGCATGCTTGACTACGCTGAGGCAATCTAGCAATAGTGTAATTGATCGCTTACTACAGCAGTAGTGCTCATTCTTGTAGTAATGCATGTCGGAGCTCGTGAAGTGTGCCTGACGACACACTTTGACCTGATATTCGCCGTTCCAACACGTCCCGCACATGCTTTATGAGATTCAGGTCCGGTGATCTAGCAGGCCACGGCAGATGTTTTCACTTTCCATATATCTCCGCACCACTCGAACTCTATGCGGGCGGGCGTTATCGTCCATAAGTATCCCGTCGGTACTCAGTGCAGCGATAAAAGGACGCACAAGAGAGTTTAGAATTTCATCACGATATCGCGCGGCTCTGTTGGAATCACGTAGAGGTCGGTGCGGCCATTCATTGTTATCCCAGCCAATACAAGTAAGCCTCCTTCTCTGCAGTGATCTCGTTCGACGACATTTAGCTCCCGATATTGTGCCCCTAGCTCTCCCAACATGATTGCCTTTCGGAGATCGCCCTGTGTGTTAAATCTACACTTATCCATAAAGATTACGTGGCCCCACTGCTCTGGTGCCCAAATGCGATGTGCATGGGCCAATTTATCCATGTTGTGACATTCGCTGAGGACAGAGGAACAGAAACCACAGGTCGTCGGGTGTATAGTAAACCTAATAATTTCAAACATCTTATACTTAATCCGCTGTCATTTCAAGTGAACACTTCAAGGAGGTCAAGTTTTCTAATTCATGCAAAATCCGCTACAAGAAAAAGGATCTGCAAAATTAAACCAAAAAAATAAATCTGCTTATTTCTAGTTTTCGTTCTCTTCCCTTAACTCATGTATAAATACAATAAATCTTTCCTAAATTGGTATATGCAGTTGTAGAATTCAGTAATTAAAATAAATACAAGACTCACTACGCTAGTGATTGTTTAAGGATATTGAAATATGCGTATTATCTTATAAATCGCTGTGCTGTATATATTTTTTACATGTTTATGCCTCATAAACTGAAGAAAAAGATAGCAAATTCAACTAAACTGCTTATTATATAAACTATGCAAACTGTTGTGTTGCATAATCCTTAGCAACATAATCCTTAGCATTTCGTTCGTTAAATATTCTGTAATTCTTCTTATTCTTTCAATAAATTGCCAGTTTCCTCCTAATTTAATGCAATCACATTGAATTGTTAAATATTTTGCACTTTTATGTTAATACAGTCAATTCCTATAAATTGCTTAAATAATAACAACATCATAAGGAATTATTGTCTTCTCTTCATTTGGGCTCTCGATGTAAGTCGTAACACTTCCGGCGCCCAGTCGGAAGATCCGTAGCTCAACACTCGGCTGAGATACAGATGATTTTTAGTGTTTCATGCTATGAAGAACCAAATAATTCTACAACCTAGTCAGTTGAAAGTATTTTTAAAAACAGTACTACAGAATTATTAAATCAGTTGAATCTTAGCACTTTATATGTATCTAAATTTCGAATATTACTATGATATGGATAAATCTGGATCCTCGGTTCCATTTATTATGCATAAAATTACACTTAAAAAACGTTTGGCTCCACTGAATAGCTAAGTCACACTCTTTTCCTATTGCCGGGACATCCTCTGGCAGTTTCTTGTTATGTGATTAATTTCTCCATAATACAGAGAAGACTCGTCGCTACTTCTTTGATTTATTACTGAACAGTTGTCATTATTTAAGTCAAGCAAATCATTTCCATAAATACTAAGTCTTTCAGTTATTTGTTATGTTCCATTGATGGTAAACAATATTTTACACTTCATAGAAAAGAAACAATTTTATTAAATCAAACGTAATGATTAATAGTGTTTAAAAAGCATGCAACTAATACATTAACTTTCTCTGCAAAATAATTAGCCCAAATGGGAGTTAGCCCAGATGGCGTTAGCCCTTTCGTTTCGGCATTTTGTGTTAGTTCACTATTTCACTTTTCAAATTGTTGCCACCAAATATTAGAGCCCTGAATTATATATAAAGAAATTAAATAATGAAGAATCTGCATAAATGTATGCCTGTTTCTGGCACTGTGAAAAGACATCGATACATAGAGACATCAACTTTTGAATAACATAGTCTTCCACTCGAATATGAGCATATGGAAGCCCGAATTTGGAATTTGTTTTATTATCTACTAGCAGAAGTATCCGATGACAGTTAAGTTAAATTGAGAATAATGTATCTGACAACAGAGAGAACGATACCGCGGTAATCCATCTCTAATAACGATCAAAAATACTATTCATAGTCATACATTTTTCAGTCTGATGCGACATGGGACTCACATAAAATATTTCGATAAAAAAAAAGCTAATTCTCTCTCATTATATCAGCAACAATGGCACGCAGTTTTTAATGATTTTCGTCTTTCTAATCAAATGGTCGTAAAAGCCCAAGTTCCATCCAATATTTCACTTATATTCAACTAATGTATATTAAATGTAGGAAACATTTATCATAATTGATCATAAATCAATAACGCGAACAAACACATACAAACAGACATTTTTTTATATGTATAGATGTTGTAAAACTTAGAAATTTTTGATTAACAAACTCTACAATTTGAAAGCGAGCAGTAGCAACACTTTTCGAAATAAAGCATTTTTATCTCCAATGCGCGAGACAGTTGCCACTCGGAAAAATGAGTGCGAAAGTTAGCGCTTTCAGAGTTTTTAATTAATATATCGGCTGATTAAAGTCGTAAAAAGATGGAAATAGTCTAAATGGCTTCCCACGAATTTTTGGAATCGAGAATAATGTATTTGATGTTTGGCAATGATATTTTTACTTCATCATAAAACTTAGAAAACTTAGCATTTTTTTAAAGGGGGACCTTGACCTTTTCCAGGATCTAGAAAAGAACTGTAGAAAGTTAGGTGACGATAGCCATAGAAGTGACTGAGTTATTAACGAACAGACTTTCTTCTTTATATATATATATATATATATATATATATATTACATTTTGTAAAACTTTTACGAATTTTTGATTAACAACCTCAACGATTTCAAAGCGTTGCATTAACATTAACATCGCGTGCAACCTTCAGACACGGATATTTTATGCGCAAGGTTTCATTACATTTCTTACTGATATTATGTTGGTAGCGTAACAGCGCAGACAATATCTAACGGTATTTTGCGTCGAATGACTTTGAATGTCTGTATCACTTTTCAAATCCCCTCTTGAATCCTCGGTGAATAAAACGCCCCTTTGGGCATAATATAAAATTTGAAAGCTTTCAGACGTTTTTATTATTTTATAGTAAGTTAATTTGACTCGAATTGTAATATGAGATGTATAGTAAACACTAATTTAGAAAATGCAGTTATTTTTAATTTACAAAATTTCTAATCAAAAATTTAACTAAAATTTTTATTGTAAACCCCGTATAAAGATGTATACTTTTTAAGGAAACGAATTAATCAGCATTTTTAATTATTATTAGAATTGACTTTAGAGAAATGGAAATGGTTTTCATATTATAAACCGTCAATGGAAAATCGATGTGATGTGTATTTTAAAACTTTCAAAAATACAGGCTACAGTAAATATCTTGTACAGTTAAATCAAATGCTAGTCTATCTTTGACTGCCAGTCTACTTTCTAATTTGAATTTAATTGTTATTTTAGTTACATTGCGTAAGTGCTGGTTGATGCTGTTATCACAAGAAGTGCATTTATGTCGAAAGCTTGTGTTTAAATAAAAAGATTCTTTTAAAACCCTTTCAAAACTTTATAATTAATTTCACACACAACGATAATTCGCTTATCATCTTATTAGGGTTTGGAAGTAGGGTATGCTCACAGAGCAAGCCAAACTCTGTGATATTAAGTAAGAATATGAGTTACAATAAGACATGGGCAGCTTAAATGCAATTGTACTGAACAGCTATTGCTCTATAAAGTTTCGCGTTTCCAGTTACCATATCGAACAGATTTTCAGAAATTTAATAAGTATTTTTTCTCTTTTTGTCGAACCAAAATAGCATATTATTACAATTTCTACAAATCGCCGATCATTCAGTTTGAGTAATGGTATTTTGTGAAGAATGAACTCACGATGAGGTTGCTTTGGCAGATTTTATTCTGTTGTGAACTAGTTTGGCATGATAACTACCACATCAAATAGTACTGACATAACAACTTTAGTACTTTTTTATCATTAGTTCCTGTCCATAATCTCATTAATTTTTCCATAAACTGCTAACATATTATTCTTTCTGTTTAAAAAAATATCAACATTTTTTGGGCTAGAGAGCATTACAATTTCTGAATAGTTGATATATGCTCTTTATCCATTTAACTTGATATTTTGATCTTTAAAGTGGAAAACATACAAAACAATATCAAGTAATTATTTCATATTTTAATGCCATGGCAACGCTATTATGAGCAAAAACAGGTATGAGTGATTCAGGCAGATCTTAAAGCAGGACATTTATATTTTGATATTTAGAAATGTCTATAGTCAAATCTTTCCATTTTCGTGACTTATTACGTTCGCAGCGTGCATTACCCTGCAGTACCAAGAAATATTCATTCACCTTCCTTGGTTAGTTGTTAGTTCTCGCATTTGTTATTAGCCTTAAAGCAGATCATCTTTGAATTTGTTACTAGCCTTAAAGCAGATCATCATATGCTTTCTCACCTCTGAATTGCGAATTTTAGCAGTTCTTTTCTAGCTAGAGCTTGATTGGTTGATTTAATTATGGCAAAGCACTCTAAGATTATCTGCCTAAAGGGAAGCATACCTTCGTGGAGGACTTCCTGTGGAAAAGTGGCTCGTATACATGTAACACATGGGCCTCCTAGCTAACGGAAAAGACTAAAGTATAGTGAAGATTTTTAAATAGATTCACATTAATTAAGACACAATAACACGCCGAATAAATACTGATTCAGAAGTCAAACAACAAAAATCAGCGTTAATTCACAAAATTTTCACAGGACTAGTTTCGATGGTTTTCCGAACCATCATCTCCAGCTGCAAAACCGCAAATGAAAAACCGCAAATTTTTCATTTGCGGTTTTGCAGCTGGAGATGATGGTTCGGTAAAACCATCGAAACTAGTCCTGTGAAAATTTTGTGAATTAACGCTGATTTTTGTTGTTTGACTTCTGAATCAGATTCACATTATTTACGATCAGATAGAACTAACAACACTGCAATTTTTGCTTTGATTTAATTCGGCCTTAAAAAAATGTTTAGCTTGTGTATAAAATGTAAATTCGTAACTAAAATAAATAACGCTGTTCCATCCGTCAAAGAACAACTAATCATATTATTTTTAAATATCCATTTTAATAAAATTTCTGTGTAGTTAGTTATAGTGATATAATTATATATACTTTTTATTGAAAAAGAAATATTTTATGCAAAATACTTACACTCATAGAAACTTGAGCAAAAGAGAAATTTATAATAATAGTAAGGCCTGCCATCTGAAATTTAAAAAGTATGCTGTAAGAATAAATATAAATGCGTATTTTTTATAAAACCAACGCAATGAACTTAAATGAATATTTAGAAACACTGCAACTAAACTTTTGTAGATGCATTAAGGGCAATGGAAATGGATCAAAGATTTTAAGGTTCATTTTCAGTTTCAGTAATATTTTATATTACAGGGTAAATACGTAATTCAGACTGCATTAAAGTTAAGAACTTTTATTTATCGATAAATTTTAAATATCAAGTTTAAACTTAATGTAGTTAAACTGCTGAAAATCTAGACTGTTTTTTATAAAATAAGAAATAAATTCCAAAATAATGTTTTTATTATTTCCAAAATAAAAAACAATTAATTAAAAGATATATGTTTTATGAATATTCTCATTAAAATGCTCTTAATTAAAGTATTCGGATTCTTAAGGAACTATGCTTAATCGTTCTTACATTTTTCATTAACGAACGTTAATAATTTCTCCGCAAAATTTCCTTTAACTTATTTAAACAATGAGATACATTCCGATGACCTCATTGATCACGTGACTTACGTACACCTTTTGTAAACAAACAATGTGCAGATGACCTCAGAAACCACGTGACTTATGTACAGCTTATGCAAACAAGCAAGGTCATTCTTCCTCTTCTTCTCTTGCGGAATGTATCTCATTACGTAGTATAAATATTTGGTACTTTTCCGTTTTGCCGGCGCAAGCGATAAAGTCGCCAATAATGGTACAACCGATGCCAAGCGGAATTTTCTCGCTGGTAACCTTTTAAGCTTCATTTTCAAAACAAGTCGCAGCTCTTTCTTATCAGATTGATTGTTTCCTTCAATACTGGCATATAATTACATAGAATTTTTATCAGATAGTTCAGTTTTATGCCTAAGGCCATTTTCGATAATTAAGTCAATTAGGATGCAATCACAGCGCTTACCCGAAGCCGAAAATATAGAAAAGGTAAAGTCAAGGGTTAAATTCATCAATTCTAACGAGAATGCATTAGCGAAGTAAAGCTCTGCAATTTTACATAATTTCTGAGTAAGCTATTCGTACGAATTGAAATATTTCTTGCATTTAAACTTATGTTCCAAATTAAGATTTAACTTGAAATTAATGTAGATAATTACTGAGAGCATTAGATTTTTGTAAAGTAGTTTACGTGAGATGAGATCGCTTGGTGTCACGTGATATAAACCGGCGAATCAGGATGTTGAACCATGAAAGCATAGTAAATTCTTAAATTGTCTTTTTACAAATTTATTGTCTTTATTTACTGGCTTTTTATAAAATTTTGAGCGGTATGAAAATGTTTATGCCTTCAAAAAGGAATTCTTAGAACTAACATTTTTTTAATATTTTTTATGTGTATATTGTATGTTGTCGCCAATAAAGTCTGCTTGGCGAGATTTGCGCCGGCGAAACGGAAAAGTACCAAATATTTCCGTTTTTAATTAAAAACATAAATATTTTAAATGATTTTATTAAATGTTTCATTGGAGTCATTTCATAGACTAAGTAATTAATTACGCTTAATAGTAGCTCCGTATAATTATCCCTTCCTTTTTTCGCTGCTAGTTTGCATGTCATTCCTAGTTTTGAAATCTACAGATTTCTATTCTCAAAATAAAAGCATTCTGTTATTTTTCTCAGTCGTTAATATGGACCGATTCTCAGTAAATTACATCGATTAACTTGTTTACTAATACTGGTTATACTAGCACATGAAAACAAATTAAATGTCTCCTATTACATGAAATAAAATACGAAACTTAATTTCTGAACAAAAATGTAAAAATTTGGAAAATTTTAATTGATATTTTGCTTTGACTTTATAAAAAAAATGTTTTATCTACTTCAAAGAAGTATGGCATAGTGTTTGAGGATAAGTAAACTTCTTTAAAACAAATTTTAATCTGAAGTCTTAAATGAGCAAATATTGAATTCATTATAACATAATTTTGGAAAATATTCTTAAATTTTACTATACAAATTCTAAACTATTCATATATCGTATATTCTACGATTTCATTATACGTACCAGGGGACTACTTCCAAAGCAATATTTATAAGTTTTATGAACTGAAAATGAAATAAACTATAAATTTAATGTATAAATACTGTAAAATGAACTATTCATTTAATGTACTGTATACAAAGCTGCTAGCTGCGACCAAATAAAAATTTATGAATTCTATGTACACCTGAAAATAAAGCTCACAAAAACATTTCAGTATGAATGAAGTCAATTCATTCTTTCCAAGCAATAACCAATTCGTAAATATTTTTTTGGGGGGGGTGCCAAATCAGGAAACTAAAACTATGGACACTTGAAGTTAAAACGTATGACGTCATGATTTAAATTTATTGGAATATAACAACTTTTTCTCAATATCGATAAAGGAATTAGAGTGGCAATAACATACCGTGTCAATTATCTTAATCTGAAACAAAAATGTTGCCAACAGCAGTTATTTATTTAAAATGCTGACATTAACAAATATTTTCGACATACAGTGACGTCACATGAAATCGCGTGAATATCAGAATATGGCTTTATGTAGTAATAATTTATTTAGTGTTTGGCAGTGCTATTTTTATTTCATATTTTGTAAAAAGTTCTTTATTAATAAACTCTACAATTTGAAAGCGAGCAGTGGTAACACTTTTCGAAATAAAGCAAATTTTTGTCTCCACCGAACGAGACTGTTGCCACTTGGAAAAATGAGGCAAAAATTAGCGTTTTCAGAGTTTTAATTAATATCTACTCTGATTAAAATCGTACGAGGATAAGAATGGTCGGAATGGCTTATCACGAAATTTTGGAATCCAGGGTTACCTCTCTCGAAACTCAACTCCCTGCCTTCCGGAGGAGATAATGCCACAAAAAACGGACAGTCACGAACAGATTTTAATAGTATAGATTCCAGAATATTTTCCCTTTTTGAATAAATGAACTTCTGTCACAAAATTCTGTAAAGCAAACGAATTTTCAAACCCAAAGCCAACCTAAAGGCTATATGCAAAGTTATAAAATAATGTGATTGTAGACATCGGAAGATGTTAACTAGCTTTTAAATAAGCAATTAATTGAAAACTGATCAAATTGATTTCTTCAAATATATATATGAATTGCAAGCAATAGTTTCTTTAAAGGTGTTTTTCTTAAAGATGTTTCTTTCTCCTTCCATGCTTATATTAAAATTTAGAAATTTAAATTCCGTAGATTAGAATTCACAACAAATCTATATCACATCAAATTCTTCTCATAAATTGTATCATAAGCATATTTTTGAAGTTTCAAAGTGCGATAAAATAGAAACTAAACTTACCAAAGGCATCATTTTTGCTATCCTTAATCGTTTTATAGACCAGTAAATTCTATGATTTACTGCAAAATCTTTGAAATGTTTGATTCTTATATATATATATATATTTAACTATTGCTTCATCACAGAATTTCAGGACTCGTTGCATTCAGATGAATGAACTCATTCTTTGTTCATTTATTTGAACACAATAAAACATTAAATCTGTAAATATGTGGAATTTTTAGACTAGGAAACATAAAAAATAAAAATGTATTGTAAAAGTTGAAAACAAATCAGTAATAATAATAAATTTCAAGATAATAATAAATGGCAAATTTTGTTAAATGAATTAATTTGGGTGTAACTCTAACTTCTTTGTTATGTCATTTAGCTAAGAAACCCATAAACTCTGGGAACACTGAAAACGCATAAAATTAAGAAAGTGGCTAATGGCTTTCTTTACGGTTCATTGGCGTTACACTTTCCGTTGAATTTAAAAAACAAATAAAATTTTACTGTAAGTTTTCATTGTTTCCCAAAGTTAGAAAAAACCGCCTTGTGAAAATTCGTTCGAGTGGGAACAATTAATCACTTTGCTCGGAACACTGGCAATCTGAAAAGTTTCCCAGCACAATTTTGTAGCATATGCACAATCAAAATTCTTTAAAAATAAGTTCGGATTACATGCATAGTCTTACAATATTATTATATTAATTACTGGTTTAAATTTTTTCAAGTCGATTTTCTAAGTAATACATTAAATTGAGTGTTGAAAGTAATTTAACAAGCAGCCTAAAATATTTCAGCAAATGAGTTTCAATAATTAGCTCTTTAAAACATTCTTGTGGTCATCCTCAGGCTCATGGGATTTTTCAATGATACCTACGATGGTTGAAAGACCTACGATAACACCCACGATGGTTGCTGATGTAATTTTATTTCCTTAAAGTATATTTTCACGATTTTGTTATGTGCTTTCTGAACATTGGAATATTGCTTTTGGTGGTTATCGTGATTAAAATTATGAACGGATGCAACTATGGATTTCCCTTTCCCTTTTCTTTCTTTCCTTTAATCGATAGTATAGTGCAAAAAGATCAAGGAATCAAACAGAACTTTTATTTGGATTATCTATGCTTTATTCATACTAAACTTCTGCACTTACACAGCACTGTAAAATTATCTGTTATCTTATAATGATTTGTTATCATATAACAAATTTCTGATATTGTATATCAACGTGAATTCAATTCGCTTCATTTCTGATATCATTTGTAAGCTATAGAATAAAATTTAGCCTTTTACGTATATCAAAGTAAAAGTCTGATGTGAACATCACATTACTTCTTTGTACGTCCTATTAAAATTTATTAAATGTAGTAATAATAATAAATCCAGAATTGTGCAATAAATCCTGATTCCAGTTCGCAACAACCATGAGGTGTCATAAAGCCCATTGGAAATTATAATAATTGTTATACAATATGTTATTTAAAATTTGAGCATCAATGACCCCACGAGTGGTATTTTTATGGCCAGGTTTTATGTTACATAGCTAAAATTATTTAAACATGCAAAAGATAATTAATACTAATAATTTTTAAAATATTGAATAAAAAACATATATGTAAATAGTCAAAATTCCAGCTTTAAAGAAATGTCAGATAATTTTTATACC